GCCCCAGGGAGCACGAAGACTGCCCAGCCTCATATAGAGACCCTGGTGGTCCCCAGGATAGCCCCAAGTGGGCCCTCGGAGCTGCCCAACGAGCACCAGAGCGAGCTCCAAGACGGCCCGAGACCCCAGGACAGCCCCCGAGATGGTCCCAGAAAGCCCCGAAGTGAGCCAAGAGGGCCCGCAGAGGCTCCCGAGGAACCTCCCACGAGGGCTCGAAGAGTGGCTGAGGGGACGCCCTTCCCGCAGCCCCTAATGGGCCAAGAACCCTCTCAAGACCACTCCCACGTCCCCCAGAGCCTCCCAAGAGACTCCGATTGTTCCCAAGGAGCTCCCGAGAGGAGTGCCTCGAGCCACGACACCATGTCGCCGTCTCTCGAACCCCAGACGCCCCCGAGAAAGCCACAGACACACAAGGCAGGCCCCAGACCACTCGGAGATGCCCCAGAGCCTCCCAAGAGACTCCGATAGTCCCTGGCCCTTACAGAATTCCCAAGAGCGGTCCCAGGGCCACTCCGAAATGCCCCACACCCACAAGACTCCGACGCTTGCCAAGAGACTCCGACAGTTCCCACGGAATTCCCAAGAGCGGTCCCAGAACCGTCCCCAAAAAGAGGCTCTGGGGGACAGCCGGGGAACGGCCCCAGAGGCGCCTGAAAACCGCAAGAGGCCTTCAAGACGCCCCAAACAAGCTCGCAGGAGGGCCAAACATGCCTCCGACGCAGCCCCAGAGACGCCCAAGCTGTTCAACTTCGACGAGCTGTTCAGCCATGGTGTGCGAGTCCCAGGTTCAGCACACCGTGGATTAATCCACGGGTCCACACTAGTCAGCCACAGCCGGGACATGTGCGTGCTAGAAGGGCGAGCAGTGGCAGCGGGCGCTGGCGCTGTCCAATGTGAGATGCGGGATTCGAGGTTGGAGTCCGACGTCACCGGTGGCAGTGCTGGGATCAGCGCTCGCGGGATTGGCAGACAGTGGCAGTGGGCTTAGGCGCTGCTTAATGGGTGGCGGGAGGCGAAGCTGGAACCCACTGTCACCTGCGTCACCTTTTGGACCACCCTTCGGGTGCTAAAGCAAGTACCCAGGGACGTACCGACGGGGGAACGGAGAATCGCGGAGGCGGGCGAGGAGAATGGGAATGCGGAGGAGAAGTGAAAGACGAGAGGAGGAGAAAGGATGCACACAGAGGTGGTCCCCCTCGCGTTTCACCTATTTACCTCGACAAGTTCCTCACTTTGTTTTTCTCTCCCGTCCTCCTCGCTTGCCTCCCCTCATGCGCCCGCGTCCTCTTCGGCGCCCTCCTGCCCCCCGTCCCCACCTCCTGCCTTTCGTTCTTCTTTTGACCGTCGAGGCTTCCCTTCGGCCGCAAAGTCGGGGGTTGGGGGCAAAAAATCGCCTGTGAAGGTGAAGGATGTCCTGTCGAGCAGCGAGGCACCGCTCCAGCCGCGAAGCGAGATCCTCCCCGCCAATCGCGGGGTGGGATTACCGGCAGTACGACGGGGCTGAGTCGTGGCGGCGACGGCGACGACTGTCAGCCTGCGGCGGCCATCGCGGCGACGAACGACGAACGACGACGCCGACGACGCCGACGACGCCGACGACGAACGACGACAAGACGAAGGCGACGGCGACGACGACGACGACGACGACGACGACGACGGCAACGGTGACGACTGTCAGCCTGCGGCGGCCACCGCGGCCAGCTCTGGCGGCGGCCCGGAACCTAGCGCGCGTGCGCTCGAGGGCAGCGCCAGAGGGGCTCGCGCGGCATCGTTCCCGACCCGCAGGCTACGGCAACGGCAACGACATCGAGACGACGACGACGACGACGACGACGACGACGACGACGACGACGACGACGGCGGCGACGACGACGACGACGACGACGGCGGCGGCGGCGGCGGCGGCGGCGGCTGCGGCGGCGGCGGCGGCTGCGGCGGCGACATCGTCGATTCGGCAATGTCTGGGCGTTCCTGGTGGCCCTCGTAAGAACGTCCGGGCGCGGCTCGAAAATGGGCCAGGATAGACCCCAGGAGGGATCCAGGCTCGAGGGGATGCCGTCCCGAGGATCGAAGGACGACCACGACCACGACCACGGCCACGACCACGGCCACGGCCACGGCCACGACCACGACGACCGCGACTCCACTACCACGACGAGGGCAAGGGCGAGGGCGAGTACGACGACGACAGCGACGGCGGCGGCGACGACAAGGCAGGATCTGTCAACAACGGATCGGGAAACCGGATCGAATCGCAACACGCCCCGGGTCGGGCTGCATCGGACACGCGTAGGATTAGGTCGGGCACGTCCCCCTACGGGCGCATGTTGGACGATCATTCAAAATAGTCAGAAATACTGCAAAATAGTGAAAAATCGTCACCTGTCTATTTTTAAAATTATTCCCAACCCTCCTTGGTTGGGTATTCGTTTTGAATAGAGCAGTGTGGTCTCCACTCCTTCCTTCCTCCTCCTCCCTCCCTACCTGCCTCTTCCTGTCTTGCCTGCGGGGGGTTGCGATCTGTGAAACTGTCGCCATTTTCGAGGCCTGCTGGGGGGTCCAGCAAAGTGAGGGCGACGCGCAGATTCAAATTAGACCTCGCCATCCCTGGGGGGGTTGCGATCTGTGAAATTGCCGCCATTTTCGAGGCCTGCTGGGGGGCCCAGCACAGTGAGGGCCACGCGCAGATTCAAATTAGACCTCGCCATCCCTGGGGGGGCTGCGATCTGTGAAACTGTCGCCATTTTCGAGGCCTGCTGGGGGGCCCAGCACAGTGAGGGCGACGCGCAGATTCAAATTAGACCTCGCCATCCCTGGGGGGCTGCGATCTGTGAAACTGTCGCCATTTTCGAGGCCTGCTGGGGGGCCCAGCACAGTGAGGGCCACGCGCAGATTCAAATTAGACCTCGCCATCCCTGGGGGGCTGCGATCTGTGAAACTGTCGCCATTTTCGAGGCCTGCTGGGGGGCCCAGCACAGTGAGGGCCACGCGCAGATTCAAATTAGACCTCGCCATCCCTGGGGGGGGTGCGATCTGTGAAACTGTCGCCACTTTCGAGGCCTGCTGGGGGGCCCTGCACAGTGAGGGCGACGGGCGGACCCAAACTAGACCTCGCCATCCCTGGGGGGCTGCGATCTGTGAAACTGTCGCCACTTTCGAGGCCTGCTGGGGGGCCCAGCACTGTGAGGGCGACGGGCGGACCCAAATTACACCTCGCCATCCCTGGGGGGGCTGCGATCTGTGAAACTGGGGGCCCAGCACAGTGACGCCACACGCAGATTCAAATTAGACCTCGCCATCCCTGGGGGGCTGCGATCTGTGAAACGGTCGCCACTTTCGAGGCCTGCTGGGGGGCCCAGCACAGTGATGCCACACGCAGATTCAAATTAGACCTCGCCGTCCCTGGGGGGCTGCGATCTGTGAAACTGTCGCCACTTTCGAGGCCTGCTGGGGGGCCCAGCACAGTGACGCCACACGCAGGTTCAAATTAGACCTCGCCATCCCTGGGGGGGCTGCGATCTGTGAAACGGTCGCCACTTTCGAGGCCTGCTGGGGGGCCCAGCACAGTGACGCCACACGCGACCAAATTAGACCTCGCCATCCCTGGGGGGGCTGGCGATCTGTGAAACTGACTTTCTGCCGGGAGCCCAGCACACTGACGCCACCTTCAATTAGACCTCGCCGTCCCTGGGGACTGCGATCTGTGAAACTGTCGCCACTTTCGAGGCCTGCTGGGGGGCCCAGCACAGTGACGCCACACGCGGACCAAATTAGACCTCGCCATCCCTGGGGGGCTGCGATCTGTGAAACTGTCGCCACTTTCGAGGCCTGCTGGGGGGCCCAGCACAGTGGGTACCCACCGCGGACTCAAATTAGACCTCGCCATCCCTGGGGGGCTGCGATCTGTGAAACTGTCGCCACTTTCGAGGCCTGCTGGGGGCCCAGCACAGTGGGCCACGGGCGGATTCCAGCATCTGTGAAACTGTCTCCACTTTCGAGGCCTGCCCCACACAGTGACGCACACGCAGATTCAAATTAGACCTCGCCATCCTGGGGGGCTGCGATCTGTGAAACTGTCGCCACTTTCGAGGCCTGCTGGGGGGCCCAGCACTGTGACGCCACACGCGACCCAATTAGACCTCGCCCATCCCTGGAGGGCTGCGATCTGCGAAACTGTCGCCACTTTCGAGGCCTGCTGGGGGGCCCAGCACAGCGACGCCACGCGCGGACCCAAATTAGACCTCGCCATCCCTGGGGGGGCTGCGATCTGTGAAACTGTCGCCACTTTCGAGGCCTGGACCCAAATTAGACCTCGCCGTCCCTGGGGGGCTGCGATCTGGGACACTGTCGCCACTTTCGAGGCCTGATGGGGTCTCAGCACAGCGACGCCACGCGCGGACCCAAATTAGACCTCGCCATCCCTGGAGGGCTGCGATCTGTGAAACTGTCTCCATTTTCCAGGCCTGCTGGGGGGCCCAGCACAGTGACGCCACGCGCGGACCCAAATTAGACCTCGCCATCCCTGGGTCGCTGCGATCTGTGACACTGTCGCCAGTTTCCAGGCCTGCTGGCGGGCCCAGCACAGTGACGCCACGCGCGGACCCAAATTAGACCTCGCCATCCCTGGGGGGCTGCGATCTGAGATCCCCGCTTTCGAAGTGGCTAGGGTTGCTCAGGGATTGTAGCTAATCAGCTTTATATAGTCCTTGTCCTGTAACCAGTGTCCTGTGAGTCTCCCGAATTCTGTCTGGAGGCATATGTAACCCTCGCTCCGTCATCGCCCCCTGTATAAAGTGTCCTAAACTATTTGCGCCCCGCGTTTGCGCAGGGGTTGGGTACGTCGCCAGGGTAATGTTTGAAGAATATTCCTCCTGTAGAGGGACACGCCCGACTTAAGCGTACGAGTCGAATCGTACCCGCCGAACCAAGACGCACGGCTGCACCATGCACACCGTCGGGCCGCAGAAGCATCGTCAGTGCAGCGGATACGAACCAGACTGGGCCGCACGAGATCGATGTCGAATCGGACCGAGGCTTTCGGGCCATACAGTTAGGTCGGACATGTCCTTTTTACAGGCGGACTATGGGGAAGAAGAAAGAAGAATTATCAAAAAATGATTAAAAATACTCAAATCGTCCCCAGACTCTTGTTTTTATTGTTCCCCAATCAGAGCTTGCTTCTGTAGGGGCCCTAGCGGATTACCGATTTCCGCGGCCAACCTGGGTGCCCGGGTGCCTGGGTGCCAAGGTGCCCAGGTGCTCACGTGCCCGGCTGCCCAGGTGCCTTATAGCCCTATAGCCCTATCGTCCTATAGCCACACAGCCCTACCGCCCTATGGCCCCATAGCCCTATCGCCCTAGAGCCATATAGCTCCATAGCCCTATAGCCTTATAGCCCTATAGCCCTACAGCCCCATAGCCCCCAAGCCCTATAGCCCTATAGCTTTATAGACCTATGGGTCTATAGCCCTATAGCCCTATAGCCCTATAGCCATACAGCCCTGTAGCCCTATAGCCCTATAGCCGTATAGCCCAATAGCCACATAGCTGTATAGCACTGTAGCCTTATAGTCATGCAGCCATATCGCCCTATAGCCCTATGGTCAGATTGCCCTATAGCCCTGTATATATCCCTATAGCCTTAAGGCCTTACAGCCCTATATCCCTATAGCCCTATTGCATTTTAGCTCTATATGCCTAAAGCCCTACAGCCCTATAGCCCTATAGACCCATAGCCCTATAGCCCTATGGCCCTATTGCACTATAGCCATTGGGGCTGGCCCTATAGCCCTACAGCCCCAGAGCCCCACAGCCCTGTAGCCCTATAGCCATACAGCCCTATAGCCCTATTGCCCTATGGCCCTACAGCCCTATAGCTTCATAGACCTATAGCCCTATGGGTCTATAGCCCTAGCGGATTCATATCGTTAGGTGAGATGTGTCACCGATTTCGGCGGCCCGCCTGAGTGCCCGGGTGCCTGGGTGCCCAGGTGCCTTCTAGCCCTATAGCCCTATAGGCCTATAGTCCTATAGCCCTATAGCTCTATAGCCTCATGGCCCCGTTGCCCCATAGCCCTATACCCCAATAGCCCAATTGAGTCCCATAGCCTTATAGCCTTATAGCCCTATAGCCCTATCGCCCTAGAGCCCTATAGCTCAACAGCCCTATCGCCCTAGAGCCCTATAGTCCTGTAGCCCAATAGCCCTATAGCCCTACGGCGCTGTAGCCCTATAGCCCTATAGCTCTATAGCCCTGTAGCCCTATAGCCCTATAGCCCTATAGCCCTGTAGCCCTATAGCCCTATAGCCCTATACCCCGATACCCCTATAGCCTTATAGCCGTATAGCCATATGACCCTTAGCCCTATAGCCCTATAGCCATATAGTCGTATAGTCGTACATGCTTATAGCCCCATAACCCTATAGCCCGATAGCCCTATATCCCTATAGACTCATAACCCTATGGCCATATAGCCCTATAGCTCCATAGCCCCAGAGCCCCCTAGCCTCATAGCCCTATAGCCCTACAGCCCCATAGCCCTATGGCCCTATAGCCCGATAGCCCTGTAGCCCTATAGACCTATAGCCATATGGCCCTATAGCCATATAGCTCCATAGCCCTGTAGCCCCATAGCCCCTATCGCCCTATAGCCCAATAGCCCCATAGCCTTTATAGCCCTAGAAAGACGTTGTTTGGGGCTGATCTCTGGTATCATTGAATGTTCCTCCTGTAGAGGGAACACTCAAATCGTCCCCAGACTGCTGTTTGACTATGTTTGATACTATCCCTCCTGTAGAGGGACATGCCCGACTTAACCATACCTCGGGTCTCCACCTCGAACCTCGAGAGCCTGGCGAGTCGGATCGGGATGGACTCCGGCGAGGCCCCCGCCCCGCGCGCAGACTGCGCCGTCTCGGCGGGTGCTCTGCCATCGGAGGACGTGCGGACTCACCGCAGCGGTGCCCCCCTGCCCAGCCCTGCGTGCAGACGGCCCGAAGGACCCACCAGTCGGGGGGGGGGGGGGGAGGGGGGAGAACCAACATCTGACTCAATCGATCTCGCTATCGATCTCACTCAACGGGACCCCACGGGACACCACGGGACACCACATCGATCTCACTATCGATCTCACTATCGATCTCACTTTTCGGGACACCACGGGAAACCACGGAACACCACGGGACACCCTGTCGATCTCACTACCGATCTCACTTTTTGGGACACCACGGGACACCTCGGGGCACCACATCGATCTCAGTATCGATCTCACTATCGATCTCAGTATTGATCTCACTATCGATCTCGCTATCGGTCTCACTCAACGGGACACCACGGGACACCACGGGACAACGCGGGACACCGCGAGCCACGGCCGGACGGACAGACGGACGGGCGGGCGGGGGAGAATCATTTGTCTTGAGTTCGCCCTAGCAACGGAAGACACCACGGGACACCACGGGACACCGCGGGACACCGCTCAAGCCACCGCTGGACGGACGGACGGAGGAGAAACATTTGTCTTGACTTCGCCCTAGCAACGGCGGGTTCATTCCTCTCGCGCGCCAACGCAGCTTCGCCTCGTCCGCACGCACGACACGAACGAAACGAAACGACTTCCCGGTTGGGGGTCTCCGTTCCACTGCGATCTCACCCCCCCAACCTCCGATGCACTTTCGGAGCTCGGGGGCCACGGTTCGAGAGCGAATAGCCCAGCTGAGAGCAACACGTGTATCTCCAGGGGCGGCGATGGCTCGTGCCTTCGGCGAGGCTCCCCGGCGAAGCCGTGCAGCGCCCGCCCGCTGACCTGGTCAGCCCCCGTGCCGCCGCCTCGGGATAGGATCTTTCGGACCTCCGCGCGGCCTCCGTGGCTCGGCGCCGGGCCTGGGCGCGGACGGCGCCGCTGCCGGAGGCCTCGCTGTTCTGGTGGAAGGCGGGCGCGGGTTCGCCGCCGGTGGCATCGCGGGATCTGCACGGGCCTGCGCTGGGCAGCGGCGTGCTGTCGGAATCCCGGGAGTGCTGCTCTCCTTCGGCCGGAGCCCTGGGAGCGCCTCTGGGGGAGGGAGGGCGCCCGGGATGCGTCGAGCGCCTCGGAGACATCGAGCGCCCTGCCCATCCCAATCCAGTACGTAGGCTGCTGCTCTGCCTCTCTCCAGAGGAGTTGGCGGCACGCACGAGGGGCCAGTCGATCCAGGCCACCCAGCTTCGCGCGTCGCGCCGCGCGGTGCGCGAGGGGCAGCGGCCGTCGCGCCGTCGAGACAGCCGCCCGGGGGAGGGCAGCCCCCCCGCGGCCCAGACCGCGCTGCGCGAAGCGCGATCCTCTTCGCGAGAGTCGGGGATCGAGGGTCGAGGCTTGTTTCTCTTATGTTAACCCCTTCCAGTTCTCGCTGGATAATTTTGTTCTTCGTCTGAAAGGTGGTCGGAGCCAAGCCCCGAGCAGTGCGACGGCACCACAGCCAGCGCGGGGATCGAGGGTTGAGGCTTTGTGGTCGCCACTTGGGGGGGTCAACGAGCTGAGAAGAGCGCCGCAGACAAGCAGCGGACCTGCAGTGGGGTGCCCTGGGCTCTCTGGCGGCCCAGGCGGTGCCCCACCGCGCGGTGGCCTCGGGTGGGCCGAGCTGGAGGCCTGAAGCCGAGGCGACGAACCTGCCCCAGAGCGGCTAGGAGACACAAGATCGCTGATTTTGTATGGTATCATCCTCCTCCTCCTCCTCCTCCTCCTCCTCCTCCTCCTCCTCCTCCTTCTCCTCCTCCCCCTTCTCCGGGGTGGACGTTGTTTGCGCTCCTGGGCCGGAGAGTGGCCCTTCTCCCCCTCCCCGCCCCTGCTGCCGCCGCTGTCGCCGTTGCAGCCGTCAGGCCAGGGCTTTTAGTGCCCTGCCACCTCGGCCAAGAGGTGCAGCCTGGGCGCGAGGAGACCCCAGCGGCACCTCCTGGTGTGAGGTGAACCGCCGTTGACGATCACGGAGGCGGGGCCCGCGGCTTCCCGCCTGTAACCTCTTGGTTGCAGCGCTCGTTGCCGCGGGCATACTATTGCCGTGCTTGTGGGGGTGCGGGCGCTGGGCAACGCTCCGTGTATTGTCCCTTGGGCGCCGATCCCGAACCCCCATGCGCCAGTTTGGCGCGGGGTGTAGGGCGGTCCTTCGTTTGCTTTCTTTTCTTGATTTCCTCCCTACTGCACAGCGTTTCTGGCGCCATTAGGAGTTAGTCAGGGAAACGAAGCCGGAGGTCAGGTCCCAGCATGTGTCCTTGAGCCCCCTTTTTGCACGTGTGCCCTTGGTGTTGGCCGTTGGCCACGTTGGCCGTTGGCCAGGGCACGTTTGGCCCGCGCTTCATTGAGTGCAACGATTTTTTTCTGCCTTTTG